ATCAGAGTGAACTCCACCCTTCCACAGATAAATGTTCTAGCAGTGCCTCGCCCACTCACACAGGCACCCATGGGTTTTTCTCCACTCAAAGGTAGCAAGACTCCTTGGAGGGAAGCTGAATTCCACGGGCCTTCAATATCCCCTCGTCCAGAAGGAAAGGATGCTTCGGGCATGTTCAGAGCAGGGCTCAATAGGGGCACCCACTGGTAATCCTACCAAATTACATAGAATAATGATAATTGATAAGGATTATTAGGATCATGTTTAATTGGGTCAGGCTGAGTCTGTGAAAGGCCATGAGTTCCTAATAATGTCCAAAGGAGAAGAGCTGAGACAAAGTATATAAAAAAGGGAGATATAAAGGTGTAAAGTTGTAAATCAAAAAGGAGTTGGTAAAATGGGGATCGTTTAATTGTTAATTAATCCTAATAAGAAGGGGAGTCTTTTTTTAAATAAAGATTTTGTTTATTTATTTGAGAGAGACAGAGAAAGCGAGAGCATGAACGTGGGGGGGAGCGGAGTTGGAGAGTGGCAGGCAGAGGGAGAGGGAGAAGCAGAGTTCCCACTGAGCAGGGAGCCCCACGCAGCCAAATGACACCATGAAGCAAAGGACCAAGAGCAAACGCAGAGGGCGCCTGGGTGGCTCAGTCGTTAAGCGTCTGCCTTCGGCTCAGGTCATGATCCCAGGGTCCTGGGATCGAGCCCCACATCGGGCTCCCTGCTCGGCGGGAAGCCTGCTTCTCCCTCTCCTGCTCCCCCTGCTTGTGTTCCTGCTCTCGCTGTCTCTCTCTCTAGGTCAAATAAATAAATAAAATCTTTAAAAAAAAAAAAAAAAGAGCAAAGGCAGAGAGCAGGAGGAGCGAGCGGGCAGAAAGAGCCGAACGCTGGATGACGCCAAACCTTTGCAGATGTGTCTGCACTCCCGGTCCCATCCCTCCCGTCCTCTGCCATTCTTGGCCCGGCCCTGACCCTCGTGTTGGGGTCTCAGCTGGGTGTGATGCTGGACAATGCTCCCTCCTGCCTGATTAGTACCCGCGGTGTCCCTGGCTAGCCTGCAGATTCGTCAGTTCCCAGCAAGGCTGTCAGGAGGAGGAGGGGAGCCAGCCCCTGCCCACCTGCATGGCCCACACAGGACACGGAGCCCTCCCATCCCCACCGGCTCTGTCTATGCTCTCCAGAGGCAGCCGGACACGGATTCTCACCAAAGCATCTCCCTGCAAGCGACTGCATGCGTGCTCCTCGGACAGGGAGGAAAGGGGAACCTAAGACAGGATCAGGTCCACACTCCTCAGCCCGGCCCCCGCCCCGGGCTCCCTAAAGCTCCCGCTCCTATCTCCCTCACTGCTCCCGCCCGGCCTCCGTGTCGCCTTGGTCATCAAGGACCCCTCACTTCCCTGCTTCTTTTACTTTTTCTTTTTTAATTTGTATTTTATAGGCTCCACCCCCCACGTGGACCTTGAACACACTCAGGGCCCTGAGATCCAGAGTCACAGGCTCTACCTACTAAGCCAGCCCGGCGCCCCTCCTTGCTTCTGATCCCACCTCAGCCTCCAGGCCTTTGCTTGGCTGCTCCGTCCCCCCGGAATGCCTTTCCCCACCTCCCTCGCCTTGGACAAGTTTACCTGTGCTTAGAGGCCCAGCCCAACCCCTGCCTCCCCTGCCGGCTGCCCCCACTGACTCCCCGGGCTCCCCTTGAACGTGCACTGTCCTGACTGCAGTCCTCTGTGTGTTCTCCTCTGTTGGACTCTGAGCACTGGCGGGGGCCTGTCTATTCCCTCCCGCACCTCCCGTTCCAGGGCCTCCCGGGGTACCCGCTGCGCCTGCTCTCCAGCCCGCAGCCGGGCTCAGACCCGAGGGGGGACAGCACAGCACCCCCAGCTTCACTCACCCGTGAGCAATTCCCCTTGTTTTCTTGTCTGTCTTGATGAGAAGCTCGCGCTGGCCGAGAACAAGTCAGACTATGCCTCAGATTTCACATGAATTACCCTCCTGATTTAATGTGCTTTGGACAATTCTATCAGATTTGTAGGAGTTTCCATGTATTTCCTCATGTCTCCATACTCCAGCCATAATATTTTTTATATGAGGAGAAAGAGGAAGGGGAAATTGCAGGAAACATGGTCCTGGTACCTGAGCCTTGTGGGACTTTCCAAAGCCTCCCCTCCCCCAGGGTGGCCAGGCCAGGTGTGGATGTCTGGCCCAGCTCCTTCCACCCTCACCCAACTTTTGTATGCTAACGGCTGCCAGGAACTTTGGGGAGAAGGGTGGGGGTCATTTCCTTAGTGCACCACAGGCTCCTTTGAAGCTGTAAGAAAAGCTGGGTTTCTATGGATTGTAGCCAGCACCTGTTAAAGATGTCTTGAGAAGGAGGAGAAAAAGAGGAGGAGGAAGGGGGGGAGGAGGAGGAGGAAGGGGGGAGGAGGAGGAAGGGGGGAGGAGGAGGAGTAGAGAGGGGGAGGGGGAGAAGGAAAAATCAAAAGGCTTGTACAAAGTCAATCTATCAATCAATAAATCCCAACAGGACCTAAATGTAAGCTAGAAAGAAAAAGCTGCAAATATCCTGGAAAAAATATTTTTAAAAAATAATGTTGAGTTGGAGAAACTTTTTAAGCACGATGCAAATCCCAGACGCCATAAAAGGAAAGTTTCAGTTATCTGACCTCTTAAACATTAAAAATTGCAAAGGACACAGTGAACAAAGTCAGACTACAGTCAGAGACCAGGAGGCAGTACCCTCCGTACTTAGAGCAGATGAAAGCTGAGCACCCAGGAAACATGACAGAGCCTATGAATCAACATGAAAAGACTGAAGCCAAGTTCTTAAGAGATGTGAACAAAGAATCCCCAGGGAAGGGACTCACCCAGAGCCAGGCAATCCTTGGAGGGCGCAGGCAGGGCCGAAGGGAACACCAGGCCTTGCGATGCAGGTGTTTGGGGAGAAACGTGACTTCAACAATCCAAAGCCTTCTAGGTTTGCCTCTGCCAGAATAAACACACTGATCTAAGCTCACGCCCTTTTCGTTGTCCCCAGGAGTCTACAGTTTTGTGTTTTCAGATTCAAAGCCTGGACCACGCTACAGTGCGGCCCTTCTCCCCCTGCCCACGCCCCCACGGCCACGACCCTTCTACCCTTCTCTTCTTCCTGCTGCAGGCACACAGGCCTCTTCACTAGGAAGTGGGTGGAACGCAGGGCCCCAGCAAAGCCCAGACATGTCTCTGCTCTTTCTCCAGGTCACGGTCACGGTCTCTTCCTGTCAGGCCCTTAGTTTCCCTGCAGGACCTGGCACTGAGCAGACACTCAGACACACTGTGGGCAACACAAACCTGAGTCCTTGTATCTCAAAAGACAATGTGAGCCTTTGCATCTCAACAGAAACCCCTTGCTGGTCAGCCTGGCAGCCTCACCCTGGGGCACCCAGAGGCTCTGACTCACCTGCCCTCTTCCCCTGCTCTGCTTCCTCCCAATTTCCCCAGGGATGAGCACACCAACATCCGCCTTCCTTCTGGGGTAGCCTGCTCAGGTGCAGGCAGTCTGGAACCCGGGCTGGGCAGTGCCTCCCTCTCTTTCCACAGTGTTGGGGCACAGGGGGAGGGGGGAAGCAGTCAGACAAACCTGGGTTCAAATCCAGACTATGCCCCTGCTTAGCACGGGACCTGGGGCTGGAGCTTCGGGTTCACCCTCATCTATAAAATCGAGACAACACAGGATCCTTTCCTTAAAGAGCTGTTCGAGTAGATGGGCAGGGGCTCCCACCCTCCGAGCTTACCCAGAGATCTTCCTCTGAGCAGAAGCACATTCAGTGGGTCTTAGCTGTGAGGACCTGGCTACGGGTCTCTGCAGTAACTACACCTCAGGCCCAAATATGTCTGGGACGTGAGAGGGAAACTGAAAGTGTCCACTTCCAAGCAGCCTGCGGTGAAGCAACACACCCCGGCTGTTCCGAGCGTCCTACCCACCCTCGGCTGTCCTCACTCCCTCAAAGGACAACCCCACACCTGACCTTCCAGGTCCTTCTCTGATCAGTCCTTCCTGCCACTGACAGACTGTGGGACTCTCAGCAAAGGACTCCCCCTGCAGACCCCGTTTGGGCTTCTTCCCAGCCCCCTCTTCTCTGTCCCTCCCACCGCACTGCCCAGCATGTCTGCCTTAAATCCCCTGCTCGGGTCACCGTGCCCGTGTCTTCCCCCCACCCCTTTGGATCTAATCAGGTCTCTCTAGCCTTGTCCCTGATGTCAGGACAGCCCCAGGAGGCCCGCGCTTGGTGGCCCAGTGCTATTTGCAAGGATGCAGACGTTTGCGGGAGAGGGCTCAGGAAACACTGCTGTTTTCTACCCCGCTTGTTTCCGCTTGACGACAGATCTCTTTCTCGTTAAACGAGGACTTTTCTAGGAAGGCTAGAGTCAGGAAACAGCAAATGGAAACAGCCAGCGAGGCCTCCCTCCCGCGTGGGCCCCCGAGCAGAGCAGCCGCCGTGCACAGAGCTGAGTGTGCGCCAGGCGCCGTGCGGGCCCGTCCACGCTCCCGCGGCGGCTCTAGGAGACAGCGGCCCCCTGCACCGATAGAGACGCCGCGGGGAAAGGGTCCCACGGCTTCTGAGATGTGCAGCCACTGGACGGCTGTGCGCTTTGCCCCTGCGACCACGGAAGCCAACCTGACCCTTCCGTCCGGGCAAATGTCCCCGGGGCATCGAGGCTCCTCCCCCAGCTTGTGAGGGAGGGACAGAGTGATGGAATGATGACATAAGAATCGCCCCCATGGTTTGTGATGATCACCCTGTGGGTGGGCCGGGAGCTCGGGCTGAATTTGCAGATGGGGAAAGCCAGGTGAGGGGACAGGTGGTGGCTTTGGGAAGGAGCCAAAACCCAAGGCCACGTTGACATTGTGCCCTCTGACCCTTGAAGTACTGTTTTGTCCACCTCTCCTTCTTTGGTTACTTCTCGGTCATTTTTTCGGTAACCGTAACCTCCCTTCCTCCGGATTCTTCTCCCTTTCCCTAGCACGCCCTTGGGGGCGTGACACCCGATGAAACCTCTGTGAGCTGCAGAACGCGATGCGATGTCCGGAGGACCTGCGGCCCGATGGTCTCATGCCCGTGCAGAAATGGCCCCCGGACATCGACGGGCTCCAGGAACACGGCCCCGCGGTGGAGCGACCAGGCTGGGGCTGCAGACACGTCAGGTGAGGATTAGGCATCGTTGGACTGCAGGGACAAGTGCCGAGTCCACCCCACTGGGGGACGCTAAAGAGCCGGTGACTATAAAATACGGCTCCACTTGACCCCCAAGGATCCCAAGAAAAGTCACCCGGGATGACTACAGCTCCAGAGTCGGGGGTCTTGGCAAAATCTTTGGTCAATAAGCCATTTCAGCCCACTGGGAAGGCAACCCCACCTCAGTGGGAGAGTCAGCCTCACGTTGCTGAGGGACGAAGGAGTCTGGCAGACGCCTCAGCCTCATCAGGTGGAGGCTGGGAGAGTCAGCAGATGGGGGCACACAACCAGCACCCCCACCCAGTCTCTCCATCCCATGGGGACGCGGGCTTGGCTCACATGCTGGACCTTATGACTTGTGTTTCAGAGCAGGGACCCCACCTCCTGGGTCTCCCTTTGTCTAGGGACAGTGGGGGGTGGGGCTGGGAACCGGACATAGGATAGTGGAGACTTCTGAAGTCATCAGAGTGGCTGGCGGAGACAGACATCTAAGGGGATTGCATCCATGCTGACGGGGCCTGGTC